GACTGTAAAAAGATTGCTGAAGAAAGCCCGTGATCCATATCTCGCTCTTTTGGCATACAGGGTGACCCCACTGTCTAATGGGTACAGCCCCCCTAATGGATATAGCCCTGCCCACCTTCTTATGGGTCGGAGGATCCGCACACCCATTCCCCACCTTCCCACTCTGCTCACCCCAACTCTTCCAGATAGTGCTGCAGTGACAGTTCAGGAAAGAGAGAGGAAGTTGAAGGATAGCAGTGTGTTCAACAGGAGACACCGTGTGCGAGATCTATGTCAACTCACACCAGGTCAGTCAGTGTGGATTACTGATACCAAGGCGGAAGGCACGGTGGTTTCTTCCCACTCCACACCTTGCTCCTATGTAGCAGAGAGCCCTTCAGGCACCATCAGGAGAAACAGACGTCACCTCAGACACAGACATCTGCCAAACCAGCGGACGACACTCTGGTAACCCCAGAGCATCCAGAGACTCCAGCACAGACTCCAAAGTTGCATATACCTGGTCTGGTCAGAACTTGGTTTGGAAGTTAAAGTTAAATACAGTATGTTTGTTTAGCTGGTCAATACTTTATGCATTCTTTTTGAAGAAAGGGGGGTAATAATAGTTCAGCATTGGAAGACAGGTCAGCGGCTGCACTCATGCCATACGCAGCACCACTGCGTGTTGTCTGAGGCGACAGAAGGCCCAGAGAGACCGGTGGGTCATATGGTTGGGGCTTGACGTCAGGTCTGTCCTGAAGTTGGTGCGTGACAGACGGTCCAGGCTGTGGTGGTGCAGTTGGTGGGCAGGCATTGAGGTGGGGGTCCAGCTTCAGAGCCGTACACTGCGGATACAGAGGACTGAGGGACAATCATGGTTTTCTTTTTTACCAATGATTAAGTTCCTCAATTCTTTTTTACACTTAAAGAACCCCTGTGGGGAAAACCAAATTCACGTGTGCATATGGCCACGCTTTGGACACTTGTCACCGTACTGTCTCCTCATTATGTCAAAAATTGAACTCTCCAGAGGATCCTCCTCCTTACTCGTCTTGTTCCCCATTGTCCTAGATGAGAGTTGTGCACAACTATAATTTTCAGTACAAAGCGGACGTCTCCGTTAGGATTCAGTCACTTATACCTTTTTTGTGACTAGACAGGACCTCAGTGTCCTCGCCTTAAACTCCAAATTGAGAACACCTACCTCAGTGCCATGTTTAAGTGACACCTACACTCAGTACTTTTAGATAAAGTACCTACCTCAGTATTTAAAAGAATACCTACATCACAAGACAAGGGATCATCAATTATTAACACAATAGCTTTCCCGAATTTACTAATTTAACATTCTTCTCAATGTATTTAACACTCACCACAGAGAATAATCTCTTTCCAAATGGACACTTGGGGATCCCGTCAGTGATAATCCAGGGCATCCTCTGACAGTCCCCCATCACTCAGAAATATGGATGAGGTTTGGGCCTGAGAAAATTGTTGTTCTCAGGCTGGCCAGGCCCTGTCTGACAGACGTTCTAGACGACCACTCGAGGGATCCCATCCTCGTCGCCAGAATTGTTGTGGACAATTCACCCCAGGATACCAGCCCTTTGGTCCCAGGTCACATCTAGTTTGGCAACCACAACGACATACAAAAGGTTTACGACCATGCAATAAATGGTCTGGGGGTCACAACCACACAAATGACTGCATACAATGACATGAAAGCCACAGCTAAAGAACTTAAAGGGTGCTATTACAAAAATTGCCACGACAATTCTAGTACCAGTCTGTCCGGTTCGGCGCGTGAAGCTGCCGAAAATGTTGTGGTGAACTCAATTGAAGTGCCAGACGAGGATACGTGAAAAACAGTCTCTTTAATGTGAGCTCAGACACTGAACAATAAACCGATACAAGACACGGTGCAACACAAAACGCACATACAGATCGGTATAGCAGTCCAAGATCAGAGCCAGCAAACACATACAGCAAAGGAATCTGAGAAGCATAGTCCAACGGGAAGTCCGATAAATCATTCACAGTAGGCAGTCTGAAGTTAGAGGGTAAGGCAGAACAGAATTGTCAAAGCACACGATCCGGGTCAAACACAAGAAATACCAAAATAAAAAATAATGCTGGAGTCAGAGCGGGCGTCCAGAACAACCTAGCAGCGTCCTGGTGGGAGGACGCTGCCTAAATAGAGGTGAAAAACAGGTGCAAACAATAAGGAGCAGGTGAAAGCAATGTGAGTGATGATGAAAGTAAAAAGACCGAAACTGTGGTGAAACAAAAACAGGAAGTAATGTCAAAATAAAAGCACCACAGGAAGCACACAGAGCCGAATCATGACACCAGTCATTACAACTGATTTAATTTACAGTTGATTTATCGAAACCTATTTGCAAAACACTGTTTTAAGCCCTGCTTGCAAACCACTGCTGCTCCTGTGTCTTATTCCAGTCATCGTTTGTTTGACATATCTGTACATTTTTCTTAATCTTCATGCAAATACTAGCTTTTGTTTTATTCTTCTAAAGTAGATGTTATCATCAGGAATCTAATCACTGCAATTGTTCATAATCAGCTGTTGTAGGTAATGTGCAGGAGCTTTAGTCATCTCTATGAAATGCAAGATTTTTTCAAAATGTATTGTATCATCTCTGCTAAACCACAAAAGGAACAGTTTCGAAGTATTAACCAGGAAAAGGAAGTAAGTCTGACCAAGGACTGCTTGCATTAGTAAACTGAATGTCCTGCAGCTATTATAAGTGTTTTTACCCTTTAATGAAATCTATCTATCTTCTTTCCATTATTAGTCACACGGGGTTAAGCACTGATTTGACAAAGCTATAAGCTATAAGAGGTGATTATTATTATGATGCTCCTTTCAGGGGCAACTGGAAATTTGGAGACACTGTTCTAACAGTGGAAATGATGAGATAGAGCAGACCAGCAGTGTTTTACTGCACTGGCATGGGACTTAAACATCATTAGGTGGGGTTAAATTGCATAACAGACATATCTAAACTGTTGCTTCCTATACTGGAAATGCTGTTAAATATGTTTACCTTTTATTATATCAAAGCTGTTAAGATTACAGTAAAGAGGAATGCTGTCTCGATTAAGTTATTTTTGTCAGGGTTGCGCTCTGCTCCCTGCCTCTCTCCCTGTTTCTCTCTCTCTATCTCTCCCCGCAGACACCAGCATCCCAATATTTATTACATTTTCACTATTCCATGTAAAAACATCAGTTAATCAGGCAATTGTAGCACAAATGTACTCTATTTGTTTTTAGTATTTGGGTTGAAAAGTAAGATACCTAAAAGATTAATGTACCCAGTTATTTCCCAGTTGAGTCAGTTTAAAGGTATCCTGCTTAATCTTTGACCACTCTATAGCTATATTTTTATGGGTAAGACCCTGTTTATTTGCATGCATGAAGATACAAATGCACATGCACAGTAGTAGTGCAATTCACATCCCACCACAGGTTTTGTGCTTCTCTGCAGATCAGTATTTGGCAATAGTAAAAAGGTAACAGGACATATCCAAAAAAGCAGGGAAGACGACTGCTACCTGGTCTACATATAAACTATCAAAACTGGCTTTTCAAATTGTATTAAAGGAAGAAACTGCACCCACCACATTTGTTAGACCCCGAGCATAGGCCTACACATAATGCGTTTCAGTGCTAAATGTAAGCAGAACCTTTGTTCACAAAAAAATTCCAGAGCATCTGTACGCTTTCAAGCAATTGATCACAAAATCCGTTTTTCGCAGGGAGCTCCTGAACGCAGCAGTATGATGCTTGCAGCCTGTAATCGTTGGGCAATGTGTAGGAAGAGGACGACTGAATCTCTCCAAAGAGAGTGAGTTATCATGTCCAGGCGGTGGCGAGAGGGTCCTCGCAGCCATCCAGGAGACCCCCCCGGTGGCTCCAAAACAGTGCAAATGCCTCACAAAGATGAACAGTCAGATGAGGTCGAGGACACGGCGAGTTCGCTGCGGAAGTTGCCGCGATGGATGCGGCTTTACTTTTACGGGATGCACGGTGTTACTCTAGATGTCTTGCTCTCGTCGTTTCGTGGTGTTTTAATTGATCAGGACCCTAAACTGGTGGGTTTTTCCTCTCCCTATCTTTGCATCATGCATTCACTGGCACACTTTGCGCTGGAGAAGATCTACTCACAAAAAAGGTGTTTCCGAATTCGGCCCGTGGTGTTTCATCTTGTTTTCTATCCGTCTGTCTACATCGGGCTGCAGATCCTCATCGGGAACATAAACACTTTGACCGAGCACGTACGCGTGGTGTCAGGGACGCAGCTGGCAGTGCACTACGCCCTGGCTCTGTATTTCGTCCAGGTGTTTCACAGAGGGCTGTCAAGGCTGCAGTATTGCCCCTCCTACCCCGCCGACCTCCACAGAAACCCCGTGGCAGAGGACAGCGGTCATGATGGGGGGCCTCCTCACGGTCTCCCCGGCTTTGCGCGGTTCTTGTTTTTCGGGATGCATGGTTTTCTGGACGAGGTGCTTTTCACATCTGTGTTCAACTTGGTGGAGAAGTCGGACCGGACCCTCAGCGGTTACACGTCCCTGTGGTCATTCCTGATGTACGGCAGCTGCAGCTTCGTAGTGGAAAAGCTCTACCTTCACCTGCACTTCAGCAGAGGCTGGGGGACATGGCGACGACTCCCCATCTACCTCTGCTTCATCTACACCTGGGAGTTCTCCTGGGGCCTGGTCCTGAGGCAGTTTGACGCCTGCTCCTGGGATTATTCCCACTATCCTCACAACTTCATGGGACTCATCACCTTGCTATACCTGCCGGGATGGGTCTGCCTCAGTTTGTATCAGGACGTGCTGTCTAACGTTCTCCTGAGGATAAGGTGCACCAAAGATGTAACTGAATTGAGTGGGGGTAATGGAGGGGTCAATGGACAGCTGAAGGGAAATTAAAAACTACTTTTTTCTTTTCTTTTACAGGTTTAAATACTTCCTGGGCAAAGTCTGGCCCATGTCTGACTGATTATTCTAGAAAAGAACGAATGGGCATAGTACATAGTATATTTATTCCCAAACTGATTTGATGAGAAAAGTGACAGTTATGTTTGCCAACAGACACAGTTTGGAGACATTTAAGAGGTAAAACAGTATAAGGTTTGGTCCAGGATGGGTATATAACTTAAAACTGTGGTGTTCGTCCAGGGCTCAGTTTCATGCCCCGGTTCAAGATTAGCATTTGCCACCATATGAAAGTACTGTATTTAATTTGTTCAGACAGGAGATGTGTTGCTATGACAATGGATGTTCAATATGGAATACAACATTTTGGGACAGATAATGTTGAGATGATTCCGTGTATACTCTGGAGTCTGGACAGCTGTTAGCAGTATGCACATTAGACATTTCCCAGCTGTCAGCTCTGCAGTGCCTGATATTTTCAGGTCCATGAATGAAGATTAAACACAACTAGGACCCTGAATGTTTACCTAAACAGTTTACATTCAGTCAACCTCCTGCCTTTCTTATCTGTCTCATGTAAGACAGATAACATTTTTAATGATTACAGTAGCAGACTAGCAATCGTACATACTTTGTGGCGGGTCTAGATTAAGCTGGATCAGTTGTGTCATTGGCATTCTTTAACTGTAGTTCATATATGTATGATAAAAAGAAATTAATTTTACAAAGCATCAAAAAGCTTTTGTTTCAGAAGGTTTATGATTTAGGTTTTGTTCACCCAAGTACATGTATTGCCTAAAATTCACAAGTCAGTATCTTCAGGACAAAGATGATGCAAAAGCAACCATATCCATTTACTTCAACTTCTTTCATGCAAATTGTTTTACAGTGCTCATTTCTCTTAATTTTTGAAGTCATTGCATTTTGAAACAATCTCCTTTTCACCTATAGTGTGCCCATAGCAACTGTCAGAGTAGAGATAAACCCAGAAACATGTAGCAAGAGAAAACCTGGATGTGAATGGATACGAGGAGCCAGGGGAGGTTTTACTGTGAATCTTTTATGAACCAAATGTTATTTTGCTGGTGTGTCTTGCTGTGCAAACCGAGTCAAAGAAACTAAGAGCGAGTGTCCACAAGGCTCCTTCTTTAAGTTGTAGGTTAGGGTCCATTATAGTCTGACATTTCAAGCCCATGTCAACATATGGAGTAAAAGTATTTGAAACTGCAGCAACAATGACAGTCTCGCTCTTTATGTTATCACTAATTCTATTAGTTTCACAGCAAAATGTTTTTACTTATCTCTAATGAACAAGCTTTAAAAAACCTATGTCAATACAAATTCAACATACAGCAGCAGAATATTAAATACTAAAGCACTAAATGTGTAACCATCAGATAGTGGTTCTTTGTTGGTAGAAACTGCAGATGTAACTGGATAATGTTCCAAGTACACACTGAAATAGGACCAATGTTCATCAAATTCAGGTGCACTGTGCTCATTTTATACTATTTTATAATAGGTTGAATAATATAGAATTTTATAATGTTTACAATAAGAAATGCTCATTGTTGCATAGTAGATGAATTAATATCTCAGTTGTCAAACACCTCTTAAGAATTACTTTGTTTTATTATCTTTTTTTTAACCTTACCCAATGCTTTGTTATAAGCCCCAGGTCTAGTCAGTTACATTGTCTCTAAAGCACTGAACAAGTTTAGATCTCAAACTGGCAGACATTTCATTTAAAAGGCAGTTATTGACAGTCTTGTCACTGTACGTTTCATAGAAGCAGCTTCAGAGTTGACACAGAAATGTGGCTTAAAGAAAACATATTACAGACTTTTGTCAATTCAAAAGGGTACATGTCCTAAAAAACCTCCAATGGTTTGGCTTCATAGCAGCCTTCTGAGCACACCAGTCGAAGCACCTTCTAAGGTCCTGTCATTTATGAAACTGCCCTTTAATATTTTTTTATAATTAGAATACAGTTCATTATAAATACAACTCTAAAGTTTCACCATTTGTATTGACTTATTGTGGAGATGAGTAGCATTTTCTTACACCATTAGATACGTTTGTGATTTACTGGATGCAGAGTTTGACTGAATTTGAAATCCAATCCAGTCATCCTATTTAATGTACATACTGCAATACAATGCAAAAGTAAGGTTTTTATGTCCTTGTACACTGGGGAGTGACAATGAAATACGTTAGAATCATTCACTTTGGATTCTCAAAATAATTTTTTCTTGTCTAGTGGTGAGCTCAATCAGATTTCTTTCTGTATATTTAGAAAATTAATTTGCATAAACACATCTTATTGTGTCAAAACGTATTTCACGCCATGTTAAGAATGTACATAGTGTGTTTTGCTTTTTCTTCTACTTGGCAGCTATACTGAGGTCCTTAATTTTGCATTAAATTTGCATTTTCTGAACCACAGCTGCATGTATGAGCGACTTTTAACTTTTTACATCTTCCATGGCTGAATAAGTATATTCTAAGTTGTTATCCATCGATTAAAAACAACCAGACTGCTTTTAGAAAAGGTGTGAAAGGTTGGAATTAAATGCAAATTAGTGTAAAAATGATGACTGACCTGTAATAGCATATACTGTATGACTTACAATTTAAATTAAATAAAAAAAAAAAAAATCCTGTGACATGGCTGGTACTCCATTTCATTAATGCACCATTCAGTGGAGTTTTGAGCAATTGTGTTTCACTGAGTACTAAATATTACTTGTTCTTGTCAAAAAATAGACAAGGTGAGTCCAGGTAAAAGCTCGAATCTCCTGTTTTGCAGTCAAATGACTGCTCTAGTTGTACAACAAAAGCATAAAGAAAAATGAAGCAGATTCTTTGGTGCCCTGGGTGTTTCATACACTATGAACAAAAAAGGTCTGCAACCTATTTTCTGGTTGACTCATAACACTGACATGATATTGTCAATTGTTGGCAGCAGTTCCTTGTACAGTTGGGTCTGCCCATATGCACACACTGTATCTTATTTCTGGTATAAAACAGGTGTCAGGCCATGACCTGCCTCACTTTCCTCTTTTTCTCCCCTCAGCGACACTGCTGAGATGCCTCACCTGATAACTGACTCCCGGGCGCAGCACACAGGTGACGCTCATTCCACTTATCACTTCCCTTTCTTATTTAAACCCCTGGCAGATGCTCCGTCGTGGCCAGAGCATTAATGTATTTTTGATCATGTATACGGGATGCCAACGTTGACAGTTTCTGTGCAGTTGATCCCTTTTTCTACACCCCCGGCAATTCTCACCTGCCCGTCTTCCTAGTCTCCTCGTCCCTCCTGGTCTTCTCCTGGGTTCCTTGTCGTCCTGATCATCTGACTCTCCTGTTCCCTACAGTCCTCCTATCTACTCACCTGCCCGTCCTGGTCTCCTCAGTCATCACTGCCTACTCTGGTTAATGGACTATACATATACTCAGTACTTTGCTTTTCCCCAATCAACCAACTTTTTTTACTAGCACCTGGGTCTGCATCCTATCTCTTGTTCTCCCTCACCCCCTGGTGAGGGGATTCAACCATAACAACAGGCCTCAGCAAAGTACACCTCAAAGCCAAAGTCCAAAGACACAGTGACTGATTATATGACAGATAATGTTGGGGTTTACCAATAAGTTACTTTTTATAGTAGAACACACACACACACACACACACTAGTTCCTGGTAAACACAAAGTCTACCTGTTAGTATTATCTCTTGTTGCTGCTTCCTTGGTGAGATACTGTTGTGAAAAATTAAACAAGACAGAGAGGAACCAAAGGGGTAAATAAAAAGCATTTTGCTTAATGTCTGAGTCCAAAACCTCTAGGAGAAAATTTACTTTTCTGAGGATCACTGTGCTTTTGTTGCCATTTATACATGTGTGTGGCAGTGAACTGGTCTCTATATTATGTTTGCACCGTGCACATTTAAGTGTATGTAGTTGCAAGTATATGATAACTGATATTATATACTGTAACTGCTACATTTTACACCCATAAAGCTGCACACATTGTTAAAGCAGTAACAAGGGAATAATGCAGGATTCTTAAGGTGGATTAATTCAATTCATTGAGGTTAAGATTAATCAAACTTGATTCCTACATCTGAAGAGCAGTAAAGATAACACCTGAGAAGCGGCAGACAGGATGCAGGTCCAGCTCAATGCTCGACATGGACAGCACAAATTCTGCCAGTGGTAGTAGAAGTACACAAGCTCAATACTCAAGCAAAAATGCAATTACTTTCTTAAAAAATACTTCACTCTAAGTAGAACTACCACATTATTTTCAGCTGAGGGAATGAATGAGCTAATGAATTACTAATATTAAGGTTAGAGTGGTGCTGAAAGAGAAAAGAGGAGCAAGATTTGGAATAAGTTCCGAAACTGAAAAAAAATATTTTTTGGTTTGTTCTACAATGTCAGCAGTTGCAGGCAAAGATGAGCCGACGTTTTCCACATTTGAAAATTATAAAAACAAGAAATCTGTCCAAGACACATCATGGAGAACATAGCATAGCACAAGGCCAGCAGCTTGTCATTAGTTTATAACAGTGGATGAGTTACAGTGATATAACAGCACAGTTTTGTGTTTATCATTACATTAGGTGGTGTTCAATAATATACAGAGGCGCTGAAAACAAGCTAGCACATTTCAGTCTTGAACCACAATCCTTCAGTGTGTCACTCAGACACAGATTTTATTCCAGTATTATCTAACTGATCTCATTGTCTGTGTTTGCCTTACTGCCATTACTGTGCTGTCATGTCTTTCAGCAGTCCAGTAGAAGTCTACGGTGTGATGTTACCAGGCTATCATAGTTAGCACTGGCCCCCCACAGTACAGCACCAGGGACTCCTTTGCCCACACTCTCCTCAATGGTGCCGACTTGGTCTCCCTGGGCAAAAATGTGTAAACATATTCTGTACACAGACACAATTTAGACAAAACTATTATGATTTTATTTTATATTGTTCAGTATCAGTACACACATGATACCAGGTGAGAATAGAGAATAAGGATTACACGATCAGGTGAGGGTTAACACCTGAGCAGGGTGTTGTTACACCAAAGAAACCAAACTCTTCATTAAAATTGGACCCAGAGGCTGAAAACACCTCTCTACTGAAATGAAGATGTAACCTAAGATGTATCTAATCTAGTAAATTGTGTGGTCAACCTTAATGAGCTGTTTCAAATGATGTAATCTGTTTCAATGGTGGGTTTAATTACTTAGTAAGATTAGGGAGTGGTAATATATAATACATGAATGGGGCAAGTAATAAACAAATCAGACTTAAATCCCTTATATTTACCTGGCTGAGGAAGCATCTGTTCTGAGCAACAAAGTCAGGTCGGGTGTACACAAATATGGGTGCGGTGCCACTTTGTCTGGGCAGGACAGAGACTCTCAAGGCTTCCTGGACACGGTTTCTCACCATCAACAAAGCTTTGGGATTGTCTTCGAGAGAGGCCTGACACAGTGAAAGGATGCAAGAAAAAAATACACCTGAGGATTATGAAAACACTAACATTATCCTACGCTTCTAACCAACCTGCAGGTAGACAGAGGGGTAGAGCGCAGTGCTGGACTCCCACAGTCACAGCAGCTCGTCATTCCGCCTCCTCATCTCCTTGGAGCATTGTCCAAGTGTAGTCTGACTCCAACCAACCATAGTTATAACAGTTACCAGTTTTTTTTTGTTTTTTTTTTTGCTTAACCAAGGATTAAGCATCATAGGACAAAAAAAAAAAAAATCTTATATGATGCATAAGTACTCCTGCTTGTATCTTCTTTCATCTTTAACAGGTAGACATGGTGCAATCAGCTAGTAAATCAAACCCCAATTTACTCGAGTATGGTTTACAAACTGACAAAACAGACATGTGAGACTGAGATATTTGTGTGCATTTCTAAAAAAGCTAGAGGACTCCTCAACTACCAAGCTCTAAGTAGAAATGTTTGGCATAGCTACAAGAGCTATATTGCTATCTTTCCAAACAATGACACTACAACACTGCATCTTATATTTTTAAGAATAAATAGCACTAATAATTGCTCTAACAGATGGGCAGCAACTCTTCACCGTGAATTCATCACTCATCATTGCAGGTAGCATTAAGCAGAATAGCATGAGCTGGCTGTTGTGCTTTGGCTTACGTTTGTGACAAATGTAGTTTGATAGAGTAACCACTATGCTGTGCTCTGTTCAGCATAGTTAGTGTAATGCTGCCATCTTGTGGTTAAGATGAAAATTTCAACTAATGAAGAAGATCAGTTCATTTTTAAGTTAATATTATGTTAACAGATCTATTAATATACAGATATACTCAAATAAGGAGTACATCACCATATAATATGACATAGTATAGCTACTCCACCATTTCCCTTTTTGGCTTGTGACCATTTAAAGCAAACTAATGTTTACTCATGAGTCCTTCTCATTGGTAACGATAAAAGCAATTATTCAACTAATAAGTCAGTCACCAGACACATATAGCAACTGTTTTGATCATTTATTATTAATCAATTTAACCTGTTACTGGCTTGAGTTATTTAAGTAGAAATACCAAACTGTTTTTGGTTTCAGCTTTTTTGGATATGAAACTTTCACAGTTTTCCAACATTTTATAGACATAATGATTAATCATGAAACTGTTATGTTTAGTCTCCTCACCAGGAGGGTGAGGGAGAACTGAGGTAGGACTCAAAAGTGCAGACCCAGGTGCTAGTGAAAAAAAGGTGCTTTATTTAAGGAGCACAAACAGAGTAACTGAGTCAACGTATAGTACAGTTACCAGGGTAGGGCAGGGATGGCTGAGGAGACTAGGACGAGCAGATGAGTAGGAGGTTTGCAGAAAACAGGAGAGTAGAGGACCAGGACGAGGCAGGCGAGTAGACAGGAGGGACACGGGAATGAGAAGACAGGACTGGTGTAGCTCTCGTTGAAGCGTTAGCCGTCCGGTACCCACGGCTGGGAAAATCACCGTCAGGTACTCATGGCTAGGAAAGTTCGCCAACAATGTGTGGCCCTGTCTAACACAAACACAAAAACCTCGCCGTTCAACCTGTCAATACTTCCTCAACATGTCCGTGCCTCACATAGTGTAATACAACAGCGTCTGCCAGATGTTTAAATAAGTCATGCACCCCAGCTGTGCACGACAACCCACAAGTCACTAATTACAGAAAGCGACACAGCTGGGGCGCTGATCCCACAAAAAAGAGAGAGCAGGAGAGAGAAAGGCAGAAGAGAGGCAGGTCGCACCAAGTGGAGCTGACAGAAACAAAATGCCATAACTGGAAAACCACAACACTTTCCTTTTTAAATATGTATCTGTCTTGGTGAACCCGCCATGATATTTCCAAAAATACGTGACCATGCTGAGGAGATGTGGAACGATCAAGATCAAGAATCTTTATTGTCATTATGCAATCAGTATTCATGGGTCACATAACAAAATTCTGTTTGGTAATTCTTGGCTTAAAAGTAAACATTTAAAAGATACAGGCCAATTATATTAGATATTATATTATTTTATTTTATATTATGTTATATATTATATTAAATATTCATACAGGGGCCTGTATGGGAATGTAAAACATAATATTCATGCTGTCCTCTTCACTCACTCTTTCATAACCTCAATTTTCTATTGGTGTGGAAAGTAGGCCAAATGAATATTTTTGGTGTTAACACTGGTTCAAATAACCCCCATAACACATCCAGCCTTAAAATACTGCAAAGCTTTCCATTCTACAAATACATTAATTAAAAACACCTATGGGCATACTTACACACACAGGGACGTGTATTAGAAGGACTGCCCTCATGCTTGCACTTCACACATTGTTGTCATCATTGCTCTGAAATGCCAGTCACGTATCTTACACAAGCAGCAGTGTCTGTTCTCAGTTCAGTCCTGTTGCTGTTGTGTGAGTAATTGCATACCAAGCAGTGTTAGTATCAGTACCATCAAATTTCTATGAATGAGGCATCTGTATCCCTCTGGGTACCTGTGTAGATGCAGAATTTACTTCCTTATTTGCAAAATTGCTTACTTACTTTATAACAGCCTTTGCATGAGACTGAAAGCATCTACAACATGAACTTAGAAAAAGAAGTTTAGAAACCATGACCCAAAAGGAACTGAAGCCATTTAAGTTCTCTTTTTTTCATGTTAAAGTAAGGAAACTTGATGGTGTTTGTGGCATTATGGGTTTTGTATCATGCTAAACAAAAGTATCATAGTCATCATTGTAGTTAACCAGCTTTCAAGAATAAATGGGTTGTTTCTCAGTAATATTAAACACATCCTAGGTTTTACTGCTTCTCCATTGCTTTTGTTTAAAATGTCTCTCTCTAGGTCACAATCCCTTGTTTTTCACCCTCAGTCCATATGACTTTTTCTCTCTCAGTGACTGCTCCAAAATGTCTTTTTTCCATTTCCTTGCATGAAGAACACAAGTGCTCTTATAACTACTTAATCAGGATGAGTAACTTCTGGCAGACGCATTTAAACCTAGCTTGCTGGAGTAGTTCAGGTGTTTCTCTGCCTGTCACTCAAGTTTTTCAAGTTCTGCAAGACTCTGTTGATGGTAATTAAGTTGAATTAGGTGGAAATTCATGGAAGTAAATATAAAATGTAGAGGATGTGCTGATGCTGAAATTAAGGTTTTGAGAATTATTTCAAAGCTTACTTGGGGATTACATTTAACAAAGACTCACTGCAATACATTTGACAGTAAAATTAGGAAGAAACTTTATCTATATGCCAACATTCCCTTAAATAATTTTCAAGTTTATGTGTATGTAACTTCATGAGTGCAGCAATCCATGCTTTGATGAAACAATACCACATCTCTATCAGCACTGTTTACAATGTATTCTACCGAAGATACCATTTTCAGTCTGTATTGTCAGAGTTTACTTTCCATGTTCACACCAGTAAGAAGGAAATTCAGATTTTATATTTTAAATGATAAGTTATTACAAAAATTTCAGGGGGAAATAACTATTCTTGCTGTGTTTGATTAATGTGCGGTGTCATACACAACACGTGTAACTAGTGACATTTCTATAAGCTCTACGGGAACTTTCTCTACCCACATACAGACCTGGCACAAGAGGGTAAATGGATAAAACTTCAAGTTCTGACAAATTCACACACATGCAGTATGACTTCACCCACACATAAACATGATCACACATGCAAATGAGCACACACATATGCACACTCAGGAATCTCTGCAAAATAAAATAACAAAGGCCCTTTGTTATGATCAAAAGAAAGTACTGTGTAATGACTGGAGGAGAAATGCAGGTTTTGTTCAGTGAGAATCCAAAAGAAACCTGTGACAGCTTAGCTACAGCTCTAGTGAAATTTGCCTTTGAATAATTAATGAGATGAGATCACATTTCACATCAGTCTGACCGCCTGTGTTTACCACTATTTGGCAGTTGACAACATACACTGATATAAATGCATGCAATGACAGATGATGACATGGACTAATGAAATGTGACCAGCTGCTCAGAAAATAGGATGAAACCTTTGACTTTATCAAGTCTAATGGAGTCATATTCACTCTTAGCCTGACCTAATGTAGTAGATCTAATTCTTTGTCCATTATGGGCACGTGGCAAATAAAAGTGACTTTGACTGTGGTGAAAAACATTCCATAACACATCTAGAAACTAAAGGGACAAATGTGCTTCTTATACCTGATGCAAGACTGTGTTAGGCTATATGAAGGCCTGTGCAAAAATGTATTTTTAAAAAGTGGAACATGTGTATAGGGGTCCACAAATATGCACAATAGCAAATCAAATTTTTTTCTGTGTATTTTAGTGCATTAATCACAAAGACAGCTATCCTGCAAACAACACCTGTTTTAAGCCTGACTGAGAATGTTGCAGGGCACAAACACACTCAGGAACAACATTAAAATATGTACCAGCATGTCGCCCTTGCTCAAGGCTACTTATGATAGCCTCTAAATATTTGTGTTTAATAGCAGTCGAGTTCTTTTTGTTGTGAAGTGCAAAATGTATACTCCAAGAGCAAGAGTAAAAGTCTGTGGTTGGTAATATTTACACACTGTCATACAGTGTGTAAATATGTAAATAGTGTTTCTTCTTGTGCTCTCTGTTGACAGGCATTCTGGAGAAACACTGAAATGTACACTTTTGTCAGACTTGGCAATGCAACCCCTGAGTCCATATCTAGTAGTCTAAGTATATTGTTTATTTTAATTAAAGGAGACATTTGTATTATCTCAGAAACATTTAAGTTCACGGGGTCAGATTGTTTCATGGTCCAGGGAATGTTTATTGTCCAGGACATCATACTGCCTCAGGTAACAGCTCTGCAGCTGAACCATGGCCTGACTTCACAATAAAATTACACATTATTATAGTCTGTTGGAAATTAACAGTGCTGTGATTCTTCTATGGATATCTGTTTAGGCTCAAAGTAATAGTTTTAAGTGTAGGCTTAGCTTTGCATTAATTTTAAGTGAAGCAATTCCTCTCACAAGGAGCATTATAACATTTTCTTGGCAACTTGCACCTTATGTCTTATCTCCTCCCATTCTGCGCTCGCACACATTCCTGTCATAAAAGCAATGGGCGGACAGGACCAAACCATCTCACTCTGTGGAGAGTGTGCTGAGAAATGTACTTTTATAAAACTGAATTCATTCATTGAACATTTTGCTAAATATACATGAATACTGGTATTACATGTGTATATCGACGTCTCAGCGTTCGCCGTATTGACATTTTCTCTCAATGATTGTGTGGTGCACAGCTGGGAAACATGTGAACCTTATTCCCAAAGAGTGGACTCTTCCTAACACTGCCATGTTGGATGGAACTGGCTCTGGGCTCTCCGGTGGCTCTACTTCCCAGGAAAGTTTTTAATGTTTTCAGTCTTGGTTGTGTCGCTGCAGCTTTAGCCTTAATTTAAAGAGGAGCGGGACATTTTACTGCATTCCTAAACCGCATACATTTTTGGCACCCCAGTCTTGTGGACTTTCGGGATAAACCGAACCGGTGTAAGGGGGTCGGAGGAAGGCCACGGATGACCGAGGGATTGTTTATGTATTTAAATCTCACGTAACGAGTTAAGAGTCGTGGTATACTTTATAAACTGATAACTCATAATGAGTGGACCTCCGCCGCAACGGCGGCAAACAAATGTCGGTTCGATACTACTGACACCGCAGGAAAATGAACACATTTTCAACCACCTTGGCAGGAAATGCATCGTAAGTTTTCCCCATCAAATTGTTTTATGATTGCTGGCTAAAAGAAAAGCTAATGCAGCTAACTTGTACCGTGTTTCCTGTCCCAAGTCGCCAGATTAAGGCCAGATAAGAGGTGTAATTAGTGTGTTTGTGACCTACACTGGTATGTTGTGATTTCGGAGGTGGCATATGTTTTTTCCTTGGGAAGCATTTGAGACTTCTAAGTGGTGAGATTGGGTTGTTTTGACATACGATGCGACAAGGGAGGGCTGGTACCGAGCGACTGTCCTTAGCGTCCCGTTTGGGACATTGACATTTGGGGCAAGTTTCATTCTAGCCCCAGGCCTTTCCTGGTAACGTTACGCCTTTAACTTGAATCACCCTGATGTTTCTCTGTCACCTAGCCTGCCTGCACTGAGCCTAGCATTGGCAGAGCGGAGTGAATAGTCCATCATCGGAAAGCAGGGCTAAGGAATAATTGTGTACTGGCATTACATAACACAGTTCAGCCTTGGTTGTTTTCGGGAAGTGTGTCCACCGAGAAGAATGTGCCGACCAGACTTCCAGTCCTCCTAATGCAAGACCTGCCAGTCAAATCTGCCGAGATAATAGTGGGAGGGCCCAGTCCCACTGTATGACTTCAGTCAACATGAGTAGTGCACTGTCACGACTTGATATTGTGAGATTGTCTAATATTACGTAACACGTTCAGCCTTCAGCTGACTCATTTTATGTCTTCCGTTTGCACTGTGTCTGTAGCTAGCCCCATGCTCAATAGATCATACTGTAGGTGAGACATTTGTAGCTGCTCCAGTACTGTTAAACCCCAGAGGTACTCTTAGTTCTTCAGTGTTTGATTTCCGTATGGTCTTGCAGAACAGGTTTTCTTATTAGTCAAAACATTTCCACAGGCTGGTACAGCTTCCTTAACCACTCCCTGTACACTCCCTATAAACAGTTTCAGAAGGAAAACTGATGAAAGTACTCAGGGGCATCAGACCAATGCGTGGTTACCTGCCAGTGTATTTTGAATGTTTTCTGTGGCTCACCATTTACAAATAGTTAGCATTTAGATAGCTGTTAGTAATTTCACCTCCAAATTTCTAAGGAAACAATGCAGTGCAGTGAAAAGTACATACACGCCTGCATTCTGTGTGTAAGTGGTTGCATCTGCTGTGTTGTTAGGATTGTCTTATTGTGACCCCTTTGGGCCATAAATGTTGTGTGCATCACCACCACCTGTAAGGTGGTAAGACTTGAACTCTAAACCTGGGTGCTCCTCAGCAATATGTGTTGTTCTTAATTCAGCCAATTTCTTCAACAAGGTGTGCATGTGCTTCAGACTGGGAAATTTTGCATTGGCAGGCTATTAAGTGAGAGCTGCAATACAAGTTTCTGTTTAGCCACAACAATTTCCTTTTTGAAATACCAAAGACACATTTTTTGCCTTGTTTGCTTAGAAGCTTTGGTCTCATGTCTTGCAAATGTGACCCAGTCATATTAGTTGGAAGGAATGACGCACTGTCACCTGTTAGTGCCTTTACAGATAAGACATGTTTTAAAGTCAAGCTGCCTAAGGGTACAGCTGCTGTGCTTAAGGGTACAGAGACATTTCTTTCTCTTTGTCAGTAGAGGTCACCTCATTTCAGTGAATCATTGTTCTTGGCTTGTGAGATAGCTGCATGCACGCACGTTTGCTATGCAAAGCTGCATTTTCTATCCCATGATGCAGTATGCCAGGCCTGTATGTGATCACATGCTAGGATGTCCTGTCTCCTCCTGCTTAATGGGAAAAAAAACAGGTTTTGGAGTGACACCTTTGTGTCCTGTTTTAAACTCTAGTGACAGTGTTCTTCTGGCAATTGTGTCACTCAGCATGTTATAGAGATGTAGAATTGGGCACATTCCTCACAGTCCTATGCTCTGGTGTGTCTGTACACGTCTTTGCATGCAGTGAGAGATAGGAAAAGACAGACGAGTGTGAGAGGGTGATTGGAAAAGACTGACATTGTGTCTCTCCCTGACCAGTCTTAATTAGAATGCCCACCACTGATTTGGTGGTTGACTGAATGATTGTGTATTATGCAGTGTACCTATTATACAGAATATGTAAGAATCACAGAGTCACCTTTATTTTGTGTCTCTGGCTTCTTTCTAAGATGCACCTCTCATAGCTGGCTCTGTGCATCTGAATTAGACTTGATTGATTTTAGCTGTAAATGGCCTGTTTGTATACAGTCTTGGCAAAAAATATTGGCACCCCTGTATTTCTGTCAGATAATTCACCACTTCTCCCAGAAAATTGTTGTGATCACAAATTCTTTGGTATTCTCATGTTTATTTCTTTTGTTTGCATCGGAACAACACAAAAAGCAGAGAAAAACATAGTATAATCAAATCCATTCCACACAGAACTCCAAAAACGGACTGGACAGAATTATTGATGCCTTTTCAAAATCATTAGAAATAGTCATATTTCAAGCATGTGATACTCCTTTAATTTGTAATAAAACTCACCTGTAGCAATCAACAGGTGCTGACAACAGATCAGCATCAAAATGGAGGAAAGTTGACTCAGCCTTTGTGTCCTGTGGATCAAACTGAGCATGTGTCCACTGTGTCCAACATTGTCAAGAAGTTTACAGCCCGTGGCACTGTAGCTAATCTCTGTGGACGAAAGAGAAAAAGATGACAGATTGCGATGAAAGATTGTTTGAATGGTGGATTGAGCAACTTCCAAACAAATTCAAGCTGACCTGCAGGCAAAGGGTGCAACAGTGTAGGCCTGCACTATCCGTTACCATCTGAATTACATGGAAGGCTATGGTGGGAGACCCAGGGGTACCCCACTGCTGACACAGAGCCATAAAAAAAAAGCCAGATTGGAGTTTTCCAAAGCTTACCTGAGGAAGCCACAAACCTTCTGGGAGAATGCCCTGTGGACTGATGAGACTGAAGTAGAGCTTTTTGGTAAACCACATCATTCTACAGTTTTCAGAAAACAAAATGGGGCCTTCAAAGAAAAGAATACAGTCCCTACAATCAAACACAGAGGAGGTTCACTGATGGTTTGGGGTTGCTTTGCTGCTTCAGCCACTGGATGTCTTGACTGTTTGTCTGACATTATGAAATCTGAAGACTACCAATGAGTTCTGGGGCGCAGTGTCAGCAAGTTGGGTCTCCATCAGAAGTCATGGTTCTTACAGCAGGACGGTGGCCCAAAGCATTAGTCAAAAAGCACCCAGGAATTCCGACAATGCACTGGAGAGTTGATGAGTCCAGATCTAAATCCCACAGAGCACCTGTGGAGAGATCTCAGAACAGCAGCTGGGAGAAGGAACCCTTCAAATCTGAGAGACCTGGAGCAGTTGACAAAAGAAGAGTGGTCCAAAATTCCAGTAGAGAAGGTGTAGGAAACTCACTGACGGTTACAGGAAGCAGTTGATTTTCATTTATTTTGTCCAAAGGATTAAGTTGAAGTTGTCAGTAATTCTTTCCAGCCCATTTTTGGAGTTCTGCATGGAATGTGTCAGATTTGGCTTTTTTTTCCTGCTTGTTTTGTTCCAATGCAAACAAAAGAAATAAAAATGAGAATATCAAAGAATTTGTGATCACAACAGTTTTTTTTTGGAAAAGGGGTGCATCATCTGACAGAAATGCAGGAGTGCCACTATTTTTGGCCAAAACTGTACTAGCTAGGTTTATGAAAGTATTATGCTCTCCTTGCCTGTTTGGCTGATTTTATGGTTTGGGTTAAGGCAGTGCAGAAGGAGATAGAGAGGCCAACATATTTTTTTTACACCACATTAACTAAGTAGTTGTGTTTAGTATTGTTACTCTCATAACATAGAAATCAAATTGGCCACACAACATGTTTTTACATCTCTTTCTTGTCTGGTTGACTTGGGTTGCATCTACAAAACCTTAGCCACCTCTAAAAATGGCAAGAACTCATACATTATATACAAAGTGTTTGACAATTTTAACAGCTTGTTTTAGCATTTTTATGTTCTTATGTGGCTAGTAGCTTCTTTTTTGTAACAGAAAGGTGCACATAACACAGATTTAGGAAGTTACCTAAGCTTTTAATGAAACAACCTGAATTACACACAAGTATTTCAACCTGCATGCACCTTTTATATTCACAGGTACTTATACAATAGTCTTACTCAGTGGTTTTACTCATTGGTATTCCTTGTGCTGCTTTCACCATCAGCAACACTGACTAGGCAAAAGGTGGAAGGGGTCCTGTGTGTGTGTGTGTGTGTGTGTGTGTGTGTGTGTGTGTGTGTGTGTGTGGGGAGACTGCCCGATCAGCAGTCCCATCCTACAGGAAGTCTCGTGGTCAGCCCCCTCTGGTGATTTGTGCTAGAGAAGTAGAACATGACTCCTCCTCGCCTCCCCTTGTCTAATTTTCTCTCCTTCCTTTCTCATTTTTAGTCTCCTCTTTTATGCCATCTGTCCTCATCCCTCAAGCCTGTTCTGCATCTCTTCCTTGACATCTTCTCTCATGATTCCCTTCTTTCTCACATCTCCTTTTCTCCCTCTTCTTTTATACACTGTCTGTCTGTGTCAGCCACCTCTTCTGTTTCTTTTTCCCTTCACCACCTTTTACTTACTTCCTCTTTGGGAAACTTTCTGAAGAGGTGTTGTAAAGAGGTGTAAATTTGCCTAATTTGTGCCAGGGTGGAACAGCTTGACCAGTGGATGATATTCAAAATATAGTTTCTTTCTGCAAGAACACAGTCTAATTATGTGTATTGTTGATATGTGAACATCTCATCTCATTTTCCATACCGCTTAGTCCCGAACGGGGTCGCGGGGGCCAATCCCAGCTTGCATCTGGCGAAAGGCAGTGTACACCCTGGACAGGACGCAGGGCCAACACACTGAACAACCACACATTCACTCCTACGGGAAATTTAGAGTCACCAATCAACCTAAGCCGCATGTCTTTGGACATTGGGAGGAAGCCGGAGTACCCGGAGAGAACCCACGCAAGCACAGGGAGAACATGCAAA